GTACTACCGTGGTACAGGGAATATTATATTTTCCTCGCGCGCGCCCTACGCGCGTCTTTCGTATTCGCCGCGCCCCGTATCATGCTAATACCATCGTGGCAGTGTTGTAACACTGCTATTTTACTATTCTGAAAAGCGTCGTCGTGCGGGACGTGTTTACCGGCAAGTTCTGAGCACGTTTCCGCGCATGGTGTCGCTTGCTCGCGCGAATATTCTTCCCTAAAATGCATCCACGACGAAGCATTCTAATATTTTCTTTACTGGATCCTTGAGATTTGATATTATATCGCTCGGTTATTCATTTCGATAAACAGTTGATAGTGTATAATAATTTTATTTTAATACATAATTTGTACATTAAATAACACACGAAGTGACAAAGAAAGATACATCGATTGTCGCTAAGTTTACTCTGTACGAGGATAGCAGTGGATTTTTCCAGCATGAATGGAAATTTTGTTAGAAACTAATAACGTGCAAGTACCGCAGTTATCCTGATATAACGAGATCATAAATTCAAGCATCGGATAACGGCATTGATTGATGCAATGACATATGACTGTGCATGCAATATTTTATCTTTTTGAACGCTAGCTGAGCTTGAGTTAAAGCATACTTCATAAGATTCGAACTAAAATTAGATTGACATCAATTCATTTGTCAGGATGCTGCAATGGTATAAACGCCAGTGTCGTACCAAATTATTAATGAATGTAGTTTATTTCTTAATATTACGTCAATCATATTTTTAATCTGGCACGCTTTATCGTAATGAAACTTGGAGCTTGAAAAATCTCCAGAAATCCGCTTTTTAACACTGGTAGAAATTCTGAGAATTTTGAGCGAAATTCTGAGAAAAATTCTACGGCGAAAAGAAAGCAAAAATAATATAAGAACACTAAAAGGAAGATTAAGTCTAGCAATAAAAAATTACGCGAGGGTATAAAAATAATAGAATTTTAGCAATAAAAAAAGATAACGGTAAAGGAACACTACCTATCTATAAATACAAATACGAAGAAAGTGTTCCGGCAATAATAGACGCAAATCAGAAACACGAAAAAAGACATTTTAGAGCAACGAAATTTCAGCACTAAAGAAGCAAGCAGTATAAGGAATCAAAACAAGGAGTTGCAGTAATAAAAGAAGCACGAGGGCACTAAGCAAATATTTGAGCAATAAAAGGAAAGCAGTGCACAAGGGCATCTAAAAATGGAATGCCAACAATAATAATGATATTATAGGAGCGCATAGGAATAGGAAGTTCCAACAAAACAAGAATAGGGGAAATTCCAACAGAAAAGAACAATATAAGGAAGTTAAAGGAAATATCGATACTAGGACAAATGATACTACGTGTGTAACAAACATACGATAATACCACGATACAAGGAAAGGTGAATTTTCTTGAAGTGAATTTCCATAAAATGATGGCACTTCAATTCTTCGATAGAAACTACATAACTTTCGCATGTTTAATCTGCAAAAGTAGAAGCAAGATGTGTTCTTATCACCATTTTTCTTACTCTACCCTAATGCGCATATGTGTGTATATTGAATATTTTTTATGTATGTATACATGTATGAGTATGTATTTGAATACTTTTCATGTTGCAAAATTTACGAGTATCCATAATGCTTGAAACGCAGTAGCAAATGGACACTCGTGACATTGCTCTTTCACTAAAAAGTGGAGCATTGGCGAGGAACCGATGCTCATATTCAATCTTCCTCGTCATAACTGCGAACAGAGCTGGTTCTCGAATTACATATACCGAAATCGCGAATAAAATTCGTTCTTGGTTCGATAGTATCGAAACCTGAATTCTCGTAACCATCTAGAGGTGCTATTATATCCTCGAACATCCCCTTTTCGCACTCTTGTTGAATAATCGAACAAATTTCAAATCGTAAACACGGATACTCTAATAAATTCCGAATATAAGAGAGCAACGTAGAAAATCACCTAGAGAATGACCTAGAATATGACACTTGCACGCCAAATGTTCGCCATGTGTTGCCCGAAACACACTGAATATCAATGTCGACGATTTCGTCGCGATACTTTCGCATAGATGATCGATAGCGTGGAAGAGATAGGGAGAGAATAATTCGAGGAACAATGGAGAATCCGGAGGAAAACATCGAGACGAGCACATCGACAAACAAACGTTCGGGTCGGTCACGTTTCATCATGATGCGCCCTCGATACGAAATGTGCAGTATCGAAAACATTATATCCTGCTCCAACGCACGTGCACGGCTACATGCTTGGAATTCAAAGGCGACGAATCGATCAGCTTCCCCGCGGATGCTAAAGCGACATTAAAGAACCGTAAGCTGTAGGGTAGAGGGAGTGGAGGAGGAATCGAAATGAGAAACAGGAGGATCAGTAGTAGAAAAGATAGGTAGCAAATAGAGAAGAAACTATAGAAGGTAAAAAAGGATGCAGAGGACAGAACTCGAGGATCAATTGCTACACTGGAAAACACGTATGCTACCGCACATAAATATCTGGACACTTTAGCTGGTTTCTAGCAACTGTAAATGAATATTAGTAAAAATATAAATTAATGAGAAACTAATGACTAAAAATAATACTTAGTCTTCTTGTAGAATCAACAAATAATACATTTTTGTTATTTAATTAAAAACTGAACGATAATGTACTATAATTCAATACGCGATTTATCGATGTATATTTCTGATGGTTTTCATGAAAATCTAGTGTTAACGATTTCCTGAAGAAAAAAGAATAAAAACTAAATGGAGAAAAATTTGAGTTGAGACTTAAAGGAAGATAAACTGGAGAAACGTACGAGGAGTTGAAATGAGAAACAGAAGGAACAGTGGACAAAACAACGTGAAGTAAATAGAGAAGAAACTGTGGTAGGAATTAAAAAGAAGATGACGGAGATCGATGATCAACCACTGTGATAAACAAGTCGTTCGAAACCGATTATCGTGTTCCAATGCTAATATCGATGTTTCGTCAATGAGAATGGAACTATCTTAATTTATCAAGCGATAAAAGAGATAGAGGAAGACTACATTTTTATTATATTTTAAACATGCTATAAATTTTCAGCTGCGAGTTTAACGAGAGAAAAAGGAGAAAAAATCTCTTTTCCAACCGTTGTTCTTCCTATAATCGTATAACTAAAACGTACGTTGTACAAACAGGCACGAAGGACCGTTTAAAAGCTGTTACAAATTTAATGATCGGGTTCCGAACCAGAGAGAGCTTCGAGCTGCGACTGGTTCAGCTCCTTTAATTTGATCGTTCTGAGGGAATTTATCGGATTCAGATGTGACATTGTATCTGTCTAAAAGAATTGCAATTTTATTTCTTTCCGAAATTAAAGGTTTCAATGAATGATATAAGCCGAATCGATGAATTTATGATGAGATAATTTACTATTTATACGACACTGCATATCTAAGAGAGGTATATCATCTCGCCCTATTAACAGGTTAATACGTCATTACTATACAAGTCGATGTGCTTCTCGCAATCAAGTAAAGGGAGACAAATAACACGGTGATCGTTCACGATAGAAGCTGTTGGACAAACAGCGGTCGGATTAGGGACGTTTACGTGGCGAATCGATAACCCCCGGCGGAGGCCGGATTTTGCAAACACGCGTGTGCGTAGCGCAGGTCGCGTGGTCATTCAAACAGGTCCCGAAAATCCAGTCGCGCCGCTATGTATTACACGGTAGGAACGTGTTATCTGGCTTAGCCCTGCGAACAGAGGCAGCCACCTACATTGCGAGCATAACCCAAATACAATATGCATGTCACGAACCATAACGCGTATCCTGCACGAAATCCTTCGATATTCTTTATACGAGTACCACCGTCGCGATTGTACCAAAGAAAGTAAGCTCGATCGTCCTTGATCCTTATGGTATCGTTTTACTTTCTAAGTAATAGAAGGAAGGATATTTAAACATTTATGGACAGCTGTATTGTTCACGTTTTATGAAAAGATGTATATCTTGAACTTCATAAACCGGTCCCGGACAACAAGTTCGAAATCTTACCAACGACTCTAATAATAATATATTTAGTAATTCTTGAGAACATTGGGATTTCTTCTTTGAGACTCTAAAGATTTTTTCAATTGAAATACTCTCGAAACGAATATTGTCTTGAGAAGAGCAACAGTCATTAGGTAACGTAATCTGTCATTTCCAATCTCAGGATCTGTTCTTCCTCAACGCCATTTTAGGTATACACTGTATTCCATTAGATTTGACTTGACTCGAATTTAAACGAACTCGCTTCAATTAAACACTGTTGAAGTGGTCGCCACTTCTAAGAAAACTCTACATGTGGTCTGTTTAGTTTTCTCAAGCACTGAAGCCATCGACAGCGTGTAGACAAAAGACTGCGACGAAGTCAGACCATAAACAGTAGACAGGCGACGTTGGTTTTCAGTTATTGGTAATACAGCTAGCGTGCGGATCTGGACCAGCTCAAATTGTATTCTTACTTATAATTACACTTCTATTTAAATATACTTTCTGCCTTACAATTTATCCACGAGTTTTCTCTGTTTACACATCGAATAACCTCAACAAACACGAACTTCAGTTCAAGTAACTCAACTAAACTGAACGAAACGCGAAACACCAATATTAAAATTGTCACCAAAGACTGTTCCCCTAATTGTCGAGAATTCTATGCACGAGCCCAGACTCACTCGCACTAGATCTCAATCACACGAACCCAACAGGGCCACCTGTCTTGTAACCACCGAAGAAAAGTCACCGCAGGAATCTCTGGCTTCGAACAAACCTGAGAATGCCCAACTGAAACCAGATCCAATCAACTAACAAACCAATTACCAGCATGAGCCGTGTTGACTGTCGATCGTGAACGTTTGTTCTTCCCCGAAGGTTTCGCGGGTTGCATGCAAGCTTGTGCATTTGGTAGATTCCTCATTTGGTGGATCGATCGATCGCTGACGACAAAGATCTTTGGTCTGTTCACAGGATCTAACGTACGCGGAGGGCGGCCACAATTGGCGGAGCATAATCTTCTCGTTGTTGGTCATCGGCTTCGTTATCGCCGGGATCGTCACGGCCATTTACCTTCTCGGGTAAGTATTCCAACGATTTCTTTCGTTTCTCTTTTCTACTCGATAGAGGTCCACGGTCTTCTCGATAGTTTCCGCTAGCCGAGGATGCAATTACACAGTCGGAAATGCCTTACCCGGTGTAGATTCGCAAAATTAAGCGGAGCTGCTCCCTCGTATCGGGCGAAATCTCTTGATCCCTTTATATTAACGAGCCACGACCCGTAGTCGTCCCGGAAACCCGATTTATCCACGTGGAAATTCTACGGAGGAATTTTATGCAGCTTTTTGTAAACGATAGTATTTTTCCACGTTTTTTACCGTTGGGACTACCAGGCTCAATATGAGTTAAAATTAACTACTTGTAGGTTTATATCGAACTTTTATAGGTTTACAATGTTGCACTTGAATGATTTATAAGTATCGGAATACTTACAGAGAAACAGAATAAACTCGACACATCATTAGGAAATTACTAAAATTTTCATTAATTCGTTTAGGATTTTTGACTGTGAAGAACTCGTATGTTCAATATCGTAATAAAGATCTCATCAATTTAAAGTATTTAGAATCACTATTTTATAATGTTGATAAATAATTTTCCATGTGTATAGAAGAAGCTATTATTTTGTTGTTAATACGGAGAAATTTCAGCTGAATCTTATGATTTATTTCGTAACAAGGTTTTGTGTTCTCTTCTGTAAGAAGGAACTAATCAAGATCGAGTTACATCCCGAAACAGGATCAGATACAGAGTTCGCTCAAAAAGCTCGCGAGTTGACTTTCACTCTTTACCTTCGAGTTCACTTTTTGCGAGAAATTCTCTCGGATAACCAGCCTCGTCCCGCCAGAAAATCTCCATTTTATCGCTCTTAAAGCCAACTCGGAATGAGAGCATCCCTTCGCTTTCTATAATATTACCCTCTCTATACTTTTTCGCAACCCTTAAACGTCGTAAACACGGAAGTTTAGCCTTAAAAGCTTTGTGATTTAAATCATTAACGAACGTGATGAAAAAATCGATAACTCTAAAGCCGGAGAATAGATGGAAACATGCATCTTTTAAAATATTAAACATCTTTTCCGATATTAAGAGAATTATTGACAAGCATCGAAAATTCAACTATGTTCTAGGCAAACTATTATCAAATTATATATGAACTTAAGCTCGTTGCAATTTAAATATTAACTAACTTTATGAAAAGATTAATAATTCTAAAATTAATCGAAAATATTTGCAATCTAACTCGATACTAATTGCAAGGTAATTGGTAAACTGAATTAGGTGTTTAACGAACTGATATTCCGGAAGAGCTATTATCAAATTAGACATGAACTTTCAGGTACGTCGACGAGCTGTTGTACTGGAGCGGCAGACGGCTCACGTTAGACGAGTGCCTTCGTGATGATCTAACGCCGCATAGGTTAACACCGACTTGGGTTGCCCACGACAAGTTTGTCTATCAGGCTGACGACGGTTCCCTCACTCTCCTGGACACCAGCAACAATTCCGTGTCCCTTCTGGTCTCTAATCACACGCTCGTACGTATCACGTAAAGCGTGTTAACGAAAGTTTCTTTCTCAAAAGAAGAAGACCTCGAACGCAATTTTATCGTTCTTAATTTCCGCTCTACTTTGAACCATACGATCTCTTCGACTTCATTTATATCATTTGGCAAGAATCATTTTTGTTATAAGCTCTTCAATATTCGTTTCACGAAGTAGGAGAACAGCAGAGGATTGTTCGGTGTGAATCTGCATAGTTTAACGCAAGAGTCGCATTGTATTTTAATCTTTCTATGCATCTTTATGAAGCCTGGCTGTGCTTGTTGTACAATCCGAGAACGTTGATAGAAATTTGAGCAGAACGAACACGGGGCCGTGAAACACACGAGTGGAAACCGTCCTTCAACGGTTGGTCCTCGATTCGAGTAAAATCGGTGCAGAAGCAGCCGCGACAATTAAAATTTGCTCTAGCTTAATTAATCTCTGTAGACCGATCGTCCAAGTGCAATGACCTCGTTCAGCGAACGTCGGGCAAGAATTTCAACAGGGGACGCTCCTTGGTTAACTTCAATTAAGTCTAATGCAATCTCGCGGTTCAAAATTGCAGAATATTTTTCAAGTCCTTCGAGTTTGAAATCCGCGCTGCGAGGAGGTATCAGCGTTCTTATTTCTTGAACAATCTCCCAAAGAGGATTATAAATTTCAGCGCATGAACGAAATTAATTAAACACGTGGAAACCAACCTGGCGGAATGCAGCCTGAGGTTAATAGCAATTAAATGTAAAGACCTCCTTCGAGAGGAAAAACTTCGACCGCGGAACGATCTCATCTGAGTTCTCGTCTAAACGCTGAATGAACAATGCAAATTAACAACTTAGGTGATGTGAAACGAAAAATTTCTGCTCAAACGTAGAACAGAATTTAATGACGCTAAGGTATGTTGTCGAGTTAAGTAATTCTTTCAATTAACTTTGTTCTTATCGTCTGAACGTTGATCTTCGGAACACACTGCGATGACCACACAATATTAATTTTATAATTTCGTATTCTCAGTTCTTGGAAATGCCTCTTCGACGGTTTTAACATTTAAACATATGACTAAATAATTTTCATTTGTGACATTTTTGAAATATATATATATTTTTTAATTTGTATTTGTATGTAATATATATATACGTATTTCAAAATAATGGAAATCTGTTGGGTATGCTATATTCTATATATGTAATTATTAAAATTTGTCTGTATGATGTACATAGAACGAGAAAAGGGGTAGCAATAAACGGTCTTAACCGTCGAATATCAAACGTCCATCGTCTTATCTATCGGACAGAGTTTAGCCCGCGGCGCGTCATAAAACACAGAGAGTAGCCCGTATATACGGCGAAACTTGAGGCATTCGCCGGTTTATTCGGGGGAAAAGGGAGTCGTTCTCTTCCTCGCTCATTTCAGTGGTATTGCATTTTCACTCGACGAAACGATTCTGCATACCCGTGGGGTGAGCGAGAGATGATCGAGAACTAAAACGAAGGGAGAAGAAGAAGAATAATAATGAGCTAAGTAAAAAGAGGAAGGAAGTGAAGAAATTGTGGAATATTCGTTGCAAGAACAATCATGTTCTTGATGGTTATGATCTAATAGATGGGACTTGACAGACACAGACAGGATTTAATAGCTAAACTTTAATTAATCTCAAATGATTCATTAAAATATGTCCGACAGATGTAGGTCACTTGAGTCAGTGAGTATTGGTCTTTTTGCATTTCATATTTTCATTAGAATTTTTTAATACAATTTTATTCGCACAATATACTGACGAAGTTTGGTTATTATACCTCGGAAATTTCGTATAAGAGCGGAGAAGGAGATTTGAGAAGCGAGAATGTCAATTTACTAGCCGTTAACGAAGGAACCTTCTCATCTGACGACGAGGAATATGAAATACGATTGAGGGTAATAATGTTTTCTAGTGGTTGAGTTGTAAGATCGCCGTTAATGAACGCGAGCGGTGACGATCGCTATCATTGCTTTTGCTGATTCCAAAGAACCCAAACGTCAGGGGATTAAATGCTCGACTATAGGCGAGGCTCTTCTTGCTTGCTGATGGAGAACTCTTGCTGTTCATGTTAATGAAATTGGATAGAAGATTGTACTTGATAAATGTATGATCGTTTGATTGCATTAGGTTGTTTTGCTCACGTAAAGGTACTCGTGTAATCTCTCCGGAATAAATGCTTCTTAAACCAGCGAATGTGTAGCTATAGAAGATGGTAATACTTCTAAATGATTTTGCTTGGCTGAGGAGAAACAAGTCCAACGTTCTTGTTCCTTTATTTTTATAGCCAGTCAGTGAACGAATACATTACATTTATTTGGTGGCCAGAAAAACACACTTCAATCGCCACATAACTCGTGCCTTTCATCTTCTGGTCAGAAATAGATATCGAACTCTGGTCTAGTGCATAATCCAATTGCACAGCAATTCACGAGCGCACAATGGAAGCCGTTATCTATTAAACGATGCAATAAGATTCATAACGTTACTGATAGCGGACTATTATAATTAAAAAGCGTGATGAGGATGTGAGGAATAATTTTATGCGGGAAACATCGCGTAAATACAGCGTCGTACTGCTTTTGATTTAAAACGGCCATTGCACGTGGATCTATGTTTCGAGGGATTGTTCTTGAAAGTTCGAGAATCGTTTGGTTTTACGAGGACAGTTAATGGTCGTAAAATTCGCGCTAACACAGAAAATGGAAAATGCATAAGCCCGTAAATCTTGGCCGGCTTTATTTCCAGAGACAGCTGAACGTTCAAGGCTACCAGTGCAGCGGCGATCTGCGTTTTGTGTTGTTCAAACACAATGTCAAGCCGGTGAGTAATGTAAAATACGAGGAACAACTTCGCAGGCATTTCGTCTCGTTAGAGAGCCCACTGTTGTTGCATTAAACCAAATTATTTGAAATATAACTTACTACTAATTACTGTTTAACTATCCTAGAATAGTGTTTTCAAATGTAAAAAAGAATTGAAAAATTATGTTCATAATCCAATTCGTAAATTTATATCAATATATAAATGAATTATAATTCATAATTTATAAAATCACGATAACGTAAAAACCTCGGAAATCTTTAAATTCTCCGAAAGTACTAAATAACCAAACGATTCCACTATTGCAGGTGTACAGAAATACCTTCACCGCATACTATACAGTCTACGACGTCACGAACGAGTAAGTAAACTGTCCATCAATAAAACCTTTCTATTCCATCAAAGCTATATTTACTCGTACATCCTCACGCACTGTTTGCTGTTTTCAGCCATCACACGCCTCTTCGTCTACACATGTCGGGGAGAATGCAGCAAACGCGATTACAACACGCAACTTGGTTGGGTAACACGTCTGGCCTCCTGATGATCTCTGAGAATGATATTTACGTGAGGATAGCACCCTCCGCGGCGGAAGACGTGCGGATAACCGATACAGGTGTCCCTGGAGTAATTTATAATGGCGTGCCAGACTGGTTGTATCAGGAGGAAGTGATGCCGCGGCCAGAAGCAACCTGGCCTAGTCCCGATGGCACGCACCTTCTCTTTGCTAGCTTCAATGACACCAAGGTCACTGCCCTGGAATTCCCTTGGTTCAGTAGCCAACCGGGTCAGGATGGGCCCAGTTCCAGTCCCTTGTCCACGCCTAGGAGAGGCTCATTCCCACCATCGAGGTCAATTAGATATCCTACTCCCGGCTCGTTCAATCCAGAGGTCGATCTGTGGCTCATGGAATTGAGCAACCTGACCAACTCCTACAATGGAAATGGAACAGCGAACTCGACGACCCTCTTCAGGATAAGGCTGAAGCCGCCACCTGCTTTGGACGGGCAGTAAGTAGTTGAAGGAAAGCTTTCAAGGATAATTTCGTATGTGTAAACAAGTCTGAAATAATTAACACACTCTCTGCTACTAACATTTCTAAAAATTCATTGGAAAAGACACCAGAAATCGTTAAAGATATTTTTAATTTAACTAATAATATTGGGTCATTCAGGAAATTCGTGGCGTTCTTGACACTGGATTTATTCTATTACATTCTGTATATTATATGTTTGGCGAGGATTATGTTTGAGGAGAATTATGTTTTATCTAGTTTTACAAAATACTATGATACTAGATTGACAGATCTGATTGGATAACAAATGCACCAAATTTTACATAAGTCAATGGAAGGAGCGTTATTTTTAAACAAGATAGAACTACCTTCATATAATTGAAAAATTGGTACTTGCTTAAAATTTGTCTCGTCCTGTTCATAAGTCTTCCTTATCCTATTTCGAACTAAATAAAATGTGGAAATGAATCGGTGAAGAAAGAGTTTATTTTTTTTTTACAGAGAATATTATCTGATATCTGCGGGTTGGGTGGGCGACGACTCCAGCCAAGTAGCGGTCGTCTGGATGAGCAGATCGCAGAATCTCTCGTTGGTATCCGCTTGTCGAGCACCAATGTGGGAATGTGAGGAGACTCACTCCGAGAGAGCGCCAGAAGGACAATGGTTAGACGCACAACCTCATCCCCTATTCGCCCCTGATGGTGACAGCTTCTTGCTACTAGCTGCTGTTCAGGAAGGCGATAAAGAGCACTTCACCCACATCAAGCACGTAACCTTAACACAGCAAAGGATAGCGGTCCTATCTCACGGTCGTTACGAGGTGAGGTAAATTAATAAATTAATTATAATATATCGTATTGAGAATCAGCGTTGTACATATTTTTCTGGATATTTAAGGTAAGTGAAATCTTAGCGTGGGACACGAAAGCCCATTTGGTGTACTATTTGGGCACTAGGGAAAGAAGGCCAGGTCAGAGACATCTTTATGTCGTTCGTGATCCTACTGCTGATGATCCTCGACGTCTGGAACCGCTCTGCGTCACGTGTGATCTTGGCGAAGTTCTATGGAGCAGTAGGTGGGTTCTTACGTATTTAGAACGTAAATAGTTTTTGTTATAGTTGACTTTACTTTACTGGAGTCCTCGAAATTTTATGTCTAAATCACGATCACGTTTTAATGAACAAAAGGATATTTCATATTTTAATAGAATTTCTAGCAAAAAGATTAAAGGAAAAATGTCACGTATCTATCTACTACATTTTTCGTGTTCTAAGTTAAATCCAGACTGGAAGAATCAAATGTCAAAGCCTAACTGTAGGGTGCACCTAATTTGCTTTAAATACAAAATGATGTAGAACTAGGCCAACGGTATCTCGCTATGCAAATACAACCTACTTTAAAAGAACGTAGAACTATATCGGTGGAAACGAGCTACAGGCTTTAAAATTACGCACAACTACGTTAACTCCTATGAATTTATTAGCTATTAAAATTTCGATCGCGTCAATTCTCTAATAAGATATTCAATAAATGGGCTTTATAGGTTCTACTACACCAACTGCACGCATTTTGGTGCATCCGTAAGTCCACCAAACGGAGACGAAACTCAGGGTTACTATGTTCTCTACTGCGAAGGTCCAGGCCTTCCACTAGCCGGTGTCCACTTGATGACCTCTCACAAAATGATTCGCGTGTTATATGACACGCGAATCCAACGGGGAGATAAACTTTCTCAGCTGGCGTTACCAACTCGAAGAAGCTTCGAGGTAAATGCTTCGTACAAATGAAAAGATCTACTGAAATTGATCTACTGAAAGATCTATTTCACACATTTCTACTAATAACTAAACTGACTCTTCAGGTACCCCTACCTCAAGGCTGGAAGGCACAAGTGCAGCTATTATTACCGCCTTCGTGGCGAGAGGAGCTCAGAGACGCGGCATTTCCTGTCTTGGTTGAAGTGAACGGTCGTCCAGGAAGCGAAGCAGTGACTGATCGATTCAAGATCGACTGGGGGACCTACATGTCTAGCCACAATGATGTAGTTTATGTCAGGTTGGATGTTCGTGGCGCTAGAGGTCAAGGAAAACGAGATCTGTTCAGGCGAATCGGTGGCGTCGAGGTTCAAGATCAGTTGACCGTACTGAGGCACTTGCTAAAGACTCTGAAGTACCTAGACGTCACGAGGGTGGGAGTGTGGGGTTGGGGATACGGCGGCTACGTGACTGCCATGGTGTTGGGTAGCCAGGAGAACGTGTTCAAGTGTGGCGTTGCTGTGAATCCTATTGCGGATTGGCTCTATTACAGTGAGTTACTGCATTTTGTATAAATCTAGAATATTCCCTAGAACAAACTGAAGGGAATACGAGTTTTTTCTACCATTTTTTATTGTATAGAGTTTACTAGATTAGAGCTCTGTATTCCCTAGAACAAATTGAAGGGAATACGAGTTTTCTCTACCATTTTTTATTGTATAGAGTTTACTAAATTAGAGCTCTGTATTCCCTAGAACAAATTGAAGGGAATACGAGTTTTCTCTACCATTTTTATTGTATAAAGTTTACTAGATTAGAGCTCTGTTCTTTTCGAATAGATTCCGCGTTTACGGAGCGAATCCTTGGTGCCCCAGCAGAGAATTATAAAGGTTACGTAGAGGCTGACCTGACCCAGCGTGCAAGGTTGGTGCCCAGTCATAGCCTCTACCTTCTTCACGGTCTAGCCGACCTCACAGCGCCTTATACGCACGGTGTCGCCTTCGCTAAGGCTCTGTCCGAAGCGGGTATCATCTTCAGGTACCAGGTATGTGATTTATTCAAAGCTTTCCTTTGATTACAATTGACTGAATTAACAAAGTCTTCACAGATATCTTACTTATTTAAAACATTCGAATCTCATACGGTGTATTTGAATTATATCTTAAACAACGCTTTTTTAAATTTAACAGAGTTACGCGGACGAAGACCACGCCTTATCAGGTGTGTTGGAACACGCTTATCGTTCCATGGAGGACTTCCTCGCAGAGTGCCTCGCCCTGGACGCGTCCTAGTGCCTCAAGCCGAACGCTCCCTCGTTGTCTCTAGCTCGCCTACTTCTGATACATCCCAGATTGATCTGGATGCTCGTCAAGAAGGCTGCCGTCGTTCAGGACTAGACTAGCTTCGAGTAAATAGATATATCGGACGTCACGGAATACACTGGTCCTGATCGTTACGTATCAGACCAACGAAAACGCGAACGAAACAAAAATAGCAAAGAATCGTATAGAAGAAAAAATAACGAAACGACTAAAATTAATGCTAGTCTGTATCGAAGTCAAGGATGCTTGTGACGCAGAGAATGATTACGCGTAGAAGACAAGCGATGATGAGAGGGATGAGGTAAACTTAGTGTTTGTATAAGTAATACCATTAAATAACGTTATGTATCAGTCGCCTGCATCAGCCTGCGGATTCCTCTTTGCTACGAACAACTTTCACTTTGCTCTTTGGACGCGCACCCCGAATAAATTTCTAGTTTAGAATCTACCCCAGCCATCCAGAGAACTATGACACAGTTCACTGGCGCTTGGGCACTTTCAGATTCTGCAAGCTCGAGATTCACGCGTTTTCTCATCTTAAGATCTATCTCTTACGATCCACGAAAGAAATTACACAAAAATTCAAGAGAATCGGCAAATGGTGTCGTGCTTCTCGCAAGCTTGCAAGCTCTTTCCATTTTTTATACAGCGAAACTTTCGAGATCGAATGACGATCGATGACACACGGAGGATACTCAGCGAACGACGATCGAGCGTATCGAGCTTAGCGCGAGCTTACAAGCTCGCGTTTCATGTTTTTTATATCGATCTTCCACCATACACACTCGTCACCGCTCGAGACATTCATGCCGTTTATATATATTGTTCCGCTTTCGAGCTTATCAAAGAAGCTTGCAAGCTCCCCCCCCCCC